TTCCCCTCTACCTGACCCTCCATTTCCATGTCTTTTGACTGCCATAGTGGATACTGTCCCATTGCTGGCTGTGTTGGATCTTGTGGGTATGGGGGTGGTGGTGGTGTGGGTAAGGGCGGTGCTGTAGGTGTCACAGAGGCTGTAGGCGCCACCTCTTCCTGAGCCTGTTGTTCTTTTTCCTTCTCTTCCTGCTGCACAATTATTTTTGCACCAGCTTGTTTAAACCATCCCAACACTTCTCTCTCTTTGGCCCTTTTATTTTTTAGCTTGTAACTCGCTTTTGTGTCACAAGCTTCTTTATGCCTCAGTTCTGACTCTACTTCATCACAGCATGCCAGATTGAATGTACCTTCCATAGGCCAACGATTCTTTCCTGATGTTCTTTTGTGCCATTTAACCACACATCGTTGAATGCATTTCATCCTGCTTGGGTGTTGTCTCATTACTAACTCCACTGGGGTTAAAATCCTTTTTTCCATTTTTTCCTGATTAGCTCCCATGAAACCCTGCTTCACTTCACTAGCTCTTGGTATTTCTGGTAGTTGGTCTGTCTCTTTTGTGCGTATCAGTACTATGATTTTTCCTACTGTTATGGCAGTTTTATATTTTTGTTCTCTGAAAGGGTTGTACTCTAAACTATGTGACCCGTCCCCTTGGGGAATCGGGGTTAAGCACCCAAATTTACCTGTTTCCCACTCAACTTTTCTGGGCACAACAGCAATCTGCAGCCGTGGAGGGTATCTCACCCCGTTTTGGCCTTATCTGGTGCAGAGAAAGTGAAGCTACTGGTCCGTCCTTATACTTGTCACACAGGGTCTGTAATAGAAAACTTAGTGAATATGGGACCCACAATCTACGCAAAATCTCTTCCCACGGGGCACCCGGAAACTGTTCTTCTACTTCTTTTAGATTAACAAACTTGGTGATCTGCCAAAGTTTTTGTTTAATTTCTTGCTCGCTTTGCCAATGCTCCACCCCCTCGTTATCTATGTAGGTTCGTTCCAACCAAAAATGTGTACGTATGTACTGTATTCCTCACTGTTGGCTGTATTCCTCACCCCCTCCCTTCGTACTCTCTGTCAAGTCAGTCGCGTAATGATTTGTCAGTCTTTTTACAGTTACATTTTATTCAACACTTTACTGTATTTACAACATTTTATACAACACTTCATGCATTACTTTTGAATAGATTATATTGTGTTTACTACAACTTATTTGATACTTCTAGATATATTACAATGTATGTACAACAACTTTATAGCTTACAGTTAGATTTTTACAATTTTTACACTTTTGATCGATCTGTTGACTGTTTTTTCTCTTTTCTTTTTTCTTTATCTTGTTTTAACTTGTAATTCTTTCAGCGTTCTGCCCGTTCAGACCTGTATGTCTGTGGCGACTCCCCTGCCCTCTTGGCTGAGAGATCACCCTTTAAACAGCGGTATCCACAGAAGCTTTATGTCTTTTTAACCCTTTATCCGCCTGTGCAGACCTGCCGTCCAACACAGCACACCTGCCCCTACAGGCAGGCGTGCTGAAAGGATAGGCAGCGGTATCCACAGATAGGCTTTTTGTATATCTCTGTTTCTCTTTTACTTTTTCAACTCTTATTACCGGTTTCTTTTTTCTCGTCCCTGTTTTAACTCTTACAGGTTCTTATTGTGCACTTCCTCTTAATACTCGTAATACTTTAACTACTTTAAATACCTTAACCTATCTTACTGCTTGTTATTCCATACATTCAACACTCATTCGCTCTTTCCGCTCCACGATCATACCTATTGCAGCAGACCCCAACTGTCTCCAGTGATGTTAGTTGTCTTTTTTTTTTTAATGATATCTCTAACTACTTTCCAATTCAATTAATTTATCTTAATTAGATTAATCAATTCATTATAATTAAATAAAAAAATTCACCATAATTAGGTTCTTTAGGAGAGGAATTTGTCAGATACCTTTGACCTGGGCGGCTCCCAGCACTGCACCCCAGACACACCCGGTTTAGACAGAAAAAGGCTCTGCTTACCTTATTTGGTGGCCACCTGTGTGTCTGGCGTACAGCCCAGTGCTCCCGGTCTCTGGCTCCAACCCTCCTTCCCTCCTGGCTGCGCTCGCCAGTTGTAGAGGCAAAAATCAGTGCCTGGAAGTGGGCCTGTAGGCTCCCGATCTTGTCCTCCACTTGACTTCTCAGTTGCCCTTTGATGTCAATCTGGTACCTTGGATTCAGCCAAGTAATACTCAAAGAAACACTGGAGACAGGCAGAGTCCGATGCAATCAAGTTTAATGTGTTCACAAGCTTCAACACATACAACTCATCGAGTCAAGCTCCGGAGCAGGACTGAAAATCTACTCTCAATGTGTCTGCTTTTATGCTGGTGGAGACTGAAGAGAGTCTCCACCTTCTTCTGCTAATCCATCCCACTTCAATGTAAAGCTATTGGTGGCAACCTTTTTCTTTTTGTCCAATTGTGAACAGGCCCAATTTTAATGGTGTATCACTTTCGATTTGAGCCTGGAAGTTCCCAAATTTTCCACCCTTAGCTTCGGATTTGCTTTCACTTTATTTTTTAAAAAACATGTGAAGCTTGGGGACTTTCTTTATGCAGTCCCTCGTGTTCTTATACAATATTAACTTTAAAATGTGCATCTGGTAGTACAAACATTTGAATGTGTGTGTGTGCTATCATTATACAGAACATAATAGGTTATGTGTGTGCTCTGTGGTGTGACTACAATGTTGACTCATAACTCTAATTTGTGAACCCTTTAATATGTATAACAATGCTTTAACACATATAGATGCATTTCAATTGGTTTTATAAGAACTTATGTATAAAACATGGTTATATGATGCAATTTATGCAGTATATCACTTTTGCTGAATCAGGGATTAATTCTTACACTACAACGGCCACAAGTAAGAAACATAAACAGTGCCACCGACCAGTACGCAGAGAAATCGTAAATGACTCTGTTCCACTTCCAGCAGACTGGTCGAACTTCATGGCACTGGGAGAGAACAAAGCAGATCTCGCTCGACTACTCTCAACCCATCTGATATAACACAGCCCAGAAGATGAGCCTGTGGTTGTAGTATCAGGTGGGTTTGCTGAAGCGACCACTGTCAAGTCATCAGATCCAGATCTTGAAGTCTCCTCTCTGTGCTGCTGCCGTGGTCCTGCCAGATGCCTCCTGCTGCTGCTGCCATCATTAGTCATTAGTCATACTTCTACTGTTATTATACACATATGACTATTGTCACACATGTACACTGCCAGATATTAACCCTCTGCGGTCCAGAACCGCGCCAGTGCATCAAAATCACGTGACCGATTTAAGACGACGTAGCAGCAAGACATAGCCTCACTGAGTCTCCATTTCAATTTGTGTGGAAAGTGCAAACTTCAAACTTTGTACCACTTTTTAAATTGTGTTGATAGGCCATATAAAACCAGACTTATGATAAATCATAAACACCATGATTTTCCTGAATATTTTTGTCACNACTTTGTACCACTTTTTAAATTGTGTTGATAGGCCATATAAAACCAGACTTATGATAAATCATAAACACCATGATTTTCCTGAATATTTTTGTCACGTTTGGTGCAGGAAGTAATGGTAAAAACGGGCTTTTCGGCCTGACAAAAGTGCTGAAAGCAACAACAGCAGGAAAAAAAAAACCCACCACACCCTCTTTCCTATTGGTGGAAAAATGTGCCACATCAACCAATCAAAAAATAGTATGGCAACAGCAGCATTTGTTGCTACGAAAGAGGGGAAGGTTTGTGGGAGTTACGGCAGCAAGAGAGAAACAGCGATAGTGATAGTGAGTGGAGAAATAGTTCGAGATTTGGTGATATTTAGCGTGTTTGGAGCGTATGGTTAGTGTGTAGTGTAGTTGTTTTTTTGTTTTGCGTGTCAAAACAATGAGGCGACTCCTGAATGTGGAGCAGGCACTGCATCTCCTCTTTGAGCAGGATGTAGCGGAGGGAAACGCGGATCCGGAGTCGGAGCCAGAGAGTGAGGACTTTGATGATGAAGGGGATGATCCATCGTTTGTGTTGGAAGAGGAGAGAAAGGAAAAGGAGCCACCGACGAGCACACCAAGTGGCACCAGGAGGTCCGCACAAAGGAGGGGACGGCGAAGAGCGCCCACAAAGTCAAGGTATACACTGACACAGGCGGCAGAGCCAGAGCCACGCCTCCACTCTGAGCCCTGGAAGACAGAGGAGGATGCTGACACTGCCCCAGCAGTAAGCAGGTTCCAGCCAAGGAGAACACCAGGAGTCCAGGTAGAGACACTTTCTCCACACAGTCCAAAAGACCTGTTTCTGTTGTTTTTTGCCACTGACACAGTCAAGCAAATCTGCAGCAACACAAACAAAAATGTTGCAAAAAACAAGGAGTTAGGGAAAAAGTACAAATGGACTGACATAGAGACAGATGATCTGTACAAGTTTTTTGGTCTTCTTATGTACATGTCTTTGGTGTCACTGCCAAGTCTCCAAGACTATTGGAGAAAAAATCACGTTTTGTCTCTACACCTTCCAGCCAAAGTGATGACACGAGACAGGTTCAGATCCATATTTTGGAACATCCACCTCAGTGATCCTGAGGAGGATGTTCATAATGACAGACAGAAGGGAACACCAGGCCATGACAAATTGTTTAGAGTCAGGCCTCTTTATAATGATATCCTCAGTGCCTGCCAGGCTTATTACCACCCGAGGAGGGAGCTGGCAGTGGATGAAAGGATGGTGGCGACTAAGGCAAAAACTGGCATGACACAATATATGAAGGACAAGCCAACTAAATGGGGGATTAAACTTTTTGTATTGTCCGAGTCAAGCAGTGGCTACACCATCAATTTCAGCATATACACTGGCAAGGCAGTAACTGTGAGTGAACATGGGCTGTCTTATGATGTGGTCATGAAGCTTATTCAGCCATCCTGTCTTGGCACTGGATATGACCTCTACATGGACAATTTTTACACCAGTCCCAAACTATTCATGGACCTGGCCAGCATGAAATTTGGAGCGTGTGGCACCTACAGGGAGAGCAGAAAAGGATGCCCCAGAGGGAGGGAAAATGCTCTCACCAAAAGATGTGAAAGAGGATCAGTGAGATGGATCAGAGAGGGCCCACTTGTGTTTGTGAAGTGGATGGACACACGGGAGGTGTCTGTGTGCTCCACCATCCATCCTGCATTTTCAGGTGACACAGTGTGG